CAATACGTCTTCAACGGCTATCGCATATAATCACGACTATCATATATAATCAAACGAATACGAACCACACAAGTAAGACAATACGAGTCACATAATCAATATTGTCAACCGGATATCAATATAAACTCAAGAACTGCAATATCATGATGAATTTTGAAAGCTGAATATGACTTCAGGCTATCTGGATTATAATGAGTATCAGTGGTTAGCGGATAATGATGACGATTAACCGTATGGATTACAATTATAGCATTATAATAACATTAAGCATTAACATTAAGAATAAAACATCAAGAGCGGGATCAGCGTCATATTCGATCAGCATCATATTCTCTTTTAAATGGACTACTTGGCATTGACCGATGAAATTTCTGTTCCGGTACTTTTTCCATCTCAATCGCTCGCCAAGGATTATTTTTCGTTATGAAGGTTCATTTTAAGTTACAGTCTCGAAAACTACATTATGAACTCTCCTGAAACCTTCTGTGCTTGTAAAGAATTAGATTTAGAATCAAACGCGAAGGTTGCGCTACGACGATTTCTCGTTGTTAGCCTTCACAGCTACATTCATTCTGTTCGTTTTGTGCGCATTTACGAAGCGTTTTCCTCTAATTCTCTCGCCTTTGAACATTCGGACGCGCTCATGAAAGTGCACTTCGGCTTGTGTCACCCCAACCGAGTAAGTCTCAAATCAGAACCTCACCCGTCGGATGACCGAGAAAAGCATCTAAAACAAGTCTATCTCCGACAAAATGCACCATGCTACTCAATAATGAGGCACGCGTTGTCATAGACTTTCGCAATGCAAAATGTCCGAGTGGCACTTGTCACGGAGCAAATTGTCGTAGACCCCGTCAATGCGTATTGTTAGCGACGCATAGACTTATGGCAAAACTTCCGATTGAGTTTAGATCGCTGTTGGCGCGTTTATCGAATAAGATTGAACGAGTTTTTTGTTCTTGTTTTTTTTTTAAACTTCTGCTCATATCAGATTGCTTATGACCATTGAATACTTACTTTTGACATATTTATTGTTAGATGATTTGAGTACGGGTTTCGTGCCTTCAACCGAGGAGTTTCGATTCCTACCATTTATTGGGGGATGGGGTGGGGATAGGGGTGCACTCTATTCTCGACCGAGAGTGGAGGAACTGCTCTCCATTCTGGAGAAATTCCGATCCTTCTTTGAGACTTCTGTCCTTCCCTACGTGGACTGTTACATAAGACCTTTGATGTTGATTTCAGATTCCTACGATATCGATCGAAAATTGAGTGGTTAATTAATAATTAAATTGATCGAATTCACCGATCATCTGTATAATTAACAGAACAGCAACAGTAGTAATGCATCTTTATAATCTGACCTTGCAAGGTTCGTCAGCGATCAACCAAGCCATTCACGGCTCGTTCTGTGGTCTTCCAAAACAACAGGTTCGTTCATTCTTACAGGCATTCATTTT